ATTGAGCAATCAAACCAGTTGGAAACCCTGGTGTCTAGAAATAAAAAGTGACTGTTTCTTTTCTAACGCCTATAGGGGCCGGTGGGGGCCCACGCCAAGCAGCAGCAGGTTGGAGGAAGCAGCTGTAGCTGGTTTCTGCTGTATTCCTGAGCAGTTCAACTGTGAGCTGGGACCTGCAATTGAATTGTGGTCGTCTCTGTGCAGAGCACTTGGCCTCCAGAGCTGGATGGAGATGCCTGAAGAGCTTTTCCTCTTTCTCCAGGTTGAGATGGGCTACATGTCAGGAGTTTTAGCTGGACCAAACCTCACCTACCTTCTCCCCAGTCCAGCAAGCCTGTTCTGCATGCAGGAAATTTGTCACGAGGTAGCTCCTCAAGCTGTACTTCAAGCATGTAGGAGGGATGGGTAGAAGTTATGTTGTCCTCACAGACACTGAATTCTGCTCCTGAAGTCACATGCAGTGGTCCTTTTTGCATTTGTTGAGGGGCACATCATGGGAAGCTACTAAAGCACATTAGGGATAACACTGTAGGATGTAACTAGGCTCGTTTTCTCCCAAGGAAAATGCTTCCCAGTGGCACAACTACCTTCCAGCCATGAGTCCAGCCAAGTCTCAGGAGTAAGGTCAGCTTTGAATTCAAATAGCACCCCAAGTCGGTGATCAAAACACCAGGTGGGGGCTGCAGTGTTTATCAAGTCCTCTGCAGCACCAGAAATCAGAACGTTCCAGTGCAGACCATGGAGTAGAAGTTTTTATGGTGGAAGACCTTAGAGAAGGGGTTGATACAGAAAATTCCCCCACATTGTCTGCACTGGTTGATATGAGGATTAGGTAAGTGCACTGCTGCTTCCCAAACACGCTTGAGGAGAACCATGTATCTCCTGCAAGGAAAGGTCAGTCTTCCTCCATGGAAACCAAGCTCCTCTCTCCTTCTCATGTGAAACTCTTGCTCTGCCCTTCCGCTCCTCAAGGCAGGAGTTGAGCATGGGCATCTCCCAGAAAGTACCTTCCCATGGCCGCAGGGATCGCAGCCCTCTCTGCAAGAGCAGCAGGACCTGGTACCCGGGTTGGGCCTCCTGGGAAGCAAGGAAATACTTCCACATCAGGTGGGAGCTTGATGGCACTACTGCTCCAACTCAAACGCAGGATCAAGGCGTAGGAAACCACGCTTGGGAAAGCATTTTGGGGAGGACAGCCTTTGAGCTTCTCGTTCATGCTACCCACGACCCTGCTACACCAGTGAGGATCATTCAGAGGAGCGGATGCAGCCTGGGCCAGGGATGCTCTATGCGGTGGGTACTGCATCCCCAGGATTTGGGGGGTGCGTCCTTCAGCTGAAGACACAGGCCACTGTTCCGACTTGCCAACAGATGAGCCGCTGACAAAGAAGAGCCTACACCAGGCACCGAGGTTTCACTTCAGTGAGGCCATAGAGAAGAACCCAAGTGAACAGAAACCAACGAAAGTATTTGAGTCCCCAGTCACCCAAAACCACTAAGACTCGGCACAGCTGCACCGAGCAGCTCACCAGAGCTGCCGGGGGCCAGGAGACGTGCGGGGATGGGTCCCCGGGATGCAAGACTTGCCTCCGGGTCAGGATGCTCCCAGACACCAGCAGCACCAGCTGCCCAGACAGGGTGGTGGGAACGGCAGCACCCTGACTGCCTGGCCAAGAGGTTGGCAGGAAAATTATGCGATTTGTAGAAATTCCTCCTGGCTGTAACAAAGGCCACCAGGAGTCTGGGCCAGAGCATCCCGCAGTGCAATCTGGCACAGTTGCCTCGAAACCTCCTCCCGTCTGCTGGTCCTTTGTCTGTGAGTCGGCATCAGCCTCGGAGGCTCCTCTCGTGTTGGATTTCAGGGTGGGGAAGTCCAGCTTGGGCCAGGCTTTAAGCACGAACCCAACACTACGGCGAGTCCCACCGGAGACCTGAGCCAAAAGGGGACCCCTGCCCGCAGTCTCACACCCCACCGCGTTATCCTTCTTGCACCGCAACTCTGCCGTAAGACCCCGTCCTGCAGTTTCCTTCCCAGTCCCTCCACACCCACCAGTTGTCCCCTCTCGAACGTGGCTTGGAAGCCGTTCAGGACAGGAGCCACGCTGCTGGCTTCATGAAGCGAGGCACGGCGCGGTCCCAAACTGAGCTCTGGTTTCTGAGGCGCGATGGTGACCCTAAAAATAAACAGGGCAGTCTGGTCCAACGAAAGGTACCTCTGCTCCCCACCGCCCTTCCGCGGTCTTGGGGTGGAAATTGAAAGAGCCCTGAGTACGTGGCAGGTGGTTCCAAGCGAGCTCAAGATGGTGGTTTCTGAGGAAGGACTCGCACCAGGACATCTGGGGAAACCGCAAGTGGTGTTTATGGGATCCCAGCCCGTGGCCCATCATGTGTTTCACAAGTGGGCACGTGTTGTTCCAGCGCAGACCGCAGCGGGTGCTTTGCTCCCACCTCCCCCCGCCAGGCACCTCACCCGTGGGAAGCCGAGTCTTCCTCACGCTCTGAGCACCAAGGACCAGAATAGGATTAAACCCCGAGGGGGGACACCGTGATGGTCCTCAGAAGGAGCAGGGAAAAGCTGCAGGTGAATGGTGACAGCACACCTGCAAGGTGCAACCCCCACCTCCATGACCACGCACCCCTAAGGGCTTACAGGAGCTGGGGACTTCGTTGCACTTCGGATCCTGGTGTATCTTCAAAAATTCTGGGTGTGCAGCCATCTCCGCTCACAAGCACCAAAGCCCCACGCCGCAACGCCTGCAGGGGACATGCACAGGGGCACAGACCCGACTACAGCATCCCACCAACCCAGCTGGGCAGAGAGAACAACTTGGCCATAGAAGGGTGCTCATAGCCTAAAGAGATTGATCCTGATGTCTAATCATAAAGTTTCAGCTGGGTCTCTCACCTCAGAGCACTTTTTGGGTGCTAGAAGTTGTGTGTTGTCCACTGTGCACCTCCCTACTCTTTGGGACAGAGGCTGTAACAGCTCACCCTGGAGAGAACACGATCGGGTCAACTTTAAGTCGCCCAAGAGCTGAATGCTTAATTATTTTAGGGAGGCTTCATTGGGAAGGCTGAGTTGCTCACCCCAAAACAGCAATCCTGCAGTCAGAGCAACTCCCAGCACAGAGATGAGCTGCAGTCAACCCACCCCACCTCAGGGTCCTCAGGTCTTAGTTGTGCCCTGACCGCACGCTCATGCTTGGGAAGGTCTCTATCATCAACGGAAAAAGGCAGAGCAGCAGAAAAAAGGGCTGATCTGCTCCGACAGCCAAGCAGGGAGCACAGCTTTGCATCCACCCCCTCAGCATCTCCCAAGGAGCCTCAGCCTCCAGCTGCTCAGAGTTCCAGGCATCCCCTTCACAAGGGCCTACATCCCCCAATACCTTGGGTAACAGCATCACCCCACGAAGGCTGGTGCATCCCTGCCTGTACGCCCTGGCAGGGCTGACCCAGGGCACACAGCAGAGCCTGCTACAGGGAAGTTGCTGGTGGTGCTTGTCCTTCACAGGGGGCAAGGTGGCAGATCAAACATGGTCTTTGCACCCTTCCAGAACCTCTTGAGGTGCTACCCCAAACACAGGCTTGAAGTGAAGGCAGGTGAGGGTGCGGATGCTCGGCCTCCCCTGCCGCAACATTGACTTTGACCAAGGCAGATGCTCTCTTTTCACCTCTTGTTCTCCCCAAATACCTCCCACCTCCACTAGACTGGGCCCCATGAGAAAGGTGGTTGGAGAAGACAGCAAGAGAATGGCTGCACCAGGCAACGAAGGAGGAAGGGACTACAGTATGGCTTTGAGCAGGACCATAAATAAGCGTTCCCATGACTTTGGAGCATCACAGCCCACATCAGTGCAGTGGCAGATGGGCAGGAACCCATCTCCACGCTCCCTTGAATCAAGACCCGACAAGTGACACCCTTTTCCACCCTCCATCACATTACAGCATCTCAGCTTATGCCTCTCCTGCCCCAGAGATGCAACCAGGCAGTTATGGAGCAGGAGAGAGACAACAGCAGAGGCTTAACACAGCCCCCACCGCAGGAAAGACCAGGGCAAGAGCAAGTCAAGAGTCACCAGGCTCCCCCCACCAGAGATACACCACCCCACTCATCGCCACCAAAAACCACATTACAAGAGAAATACAAAATATAGCACTTTAATTGCAGGAAGATAAAAAAAATTACCAAAAAAATTAATAAACCTCAAGGCATAAAATAAATAGGCAGCTTAGTAGCACGCACACGTGCGCGGTCCTGGTCTGTGTCAGCTGCAAGGCACAAGCCCCACGCCCAAGCAGCTCCCCGGTGCTGGGTGCACACACAAAGCATGTTAATGAGGATTTACACATGGATGCTGCTGCCTGGTCACGCTTGGGAGAGACCAACATGTGCGTTTGGGAGGGTGAAGCCAAACTATTCACACTACACTGCAATCTTTAAAATTAAAGATATTGTATATTTATATAAACTCTGTCTCTGGTTAGGAAAAATTAAGATTCCTAAGTTCTTATATTCAACATTTACACACATAATCTCTGCATTGGTTTCCAAATCTCAAAATACTTTGGTATTACAAACCTATAAACCTCATAGCAAAAATAAAGAGGAATTTGAGAAGGTTCTTCTTGGAAGGCATACCCTGTCTTCCATCAGCAGGACTCTTTGGGGGGGAAAAAGCTGATCTCTGGAAAGAATTTCCTACATTTGAGCATTTTAAGGCTTTTCCAACAGTCACCTCCTACCACATCGCTGTTCTCAGCGAGGTACAAGTTGCAGGTCGTTATAGCTGTTGATTTTCGGTTCCACTTGACTGCCATCAACAAAGGCAACACAAAGCAAAGCCAGCCCTGACCTCCCTGCACGGCTCAGATGCTCCCTCCTCCCCCTGCCATTAGCTATAGACAATGGTACAGGACTACCCAGCTTGGTATAAAAGTCATTTTTATCAGTAAAATGTTTGCAGGATGGATGCTGAGCACCCAACCTACTTTCTCACGGGAATTTTTACTGCTGTGTTTATGCAGACTCTGGACTGGAAACAGCAAAGAACAAAACCCAACTTTCCAAAAGGGGAATTTAGGCACTAACGGGACCAAATTGGATCTAGATCAACCCAAACCACCACGCTAGGTCTGCGGAGGAGGCGGCTCAGACTGCAATCTGTTGGTTTTCTCTGAAGAGCGGCCGCTGGTGCGTCGCACAGATGTCCTGGAAGATCCTGTACACCTGGTCATGCTGCGTCTCCTCAGCTATGGGGAGCATGGGGTTGCTGCTGCAGGTCTTCCCAGCCTCCTCCACCACCTGCCTGACATACAGCTGCTCCACCTATGCAAAAAAAGAAGAGTCATGAAGACACTGAACGAAGAGGAACCTCTTTGGGCATCTCCCACCACCTGCAGCCACCAGCCCAGGCAGCAGGGTACGGGGTGGGAGAAACACAGAGCAGTTGTGCCAAACAGACCCAGGTGGCCACGTCCAGCCACGCCAACGGGACCAACTCCAAAAGCCAACTTGGCACAAGCACCTCCAGGAGAAAAGGAGCAGTCACAAGAGCTCCTCTCCCAACAGAGCTACAGGGAGGTGAGGACAGGCTGGGGGGACACCCTAGCACATGCAGAATGATCCTCTGGTGCAGACACCCAAGGCAAGAAGAGGTGACAACTCCCCAAGTTATGCAGGGAGACATAGGACCAGTCTCTAAACTTTTTTAATCCCCTCCAGGCCCTCACAGACTTGGTGGGTCTCTGCTTGCTCAAGGCTGGATGCTACACCCTCTCTGTGCCCTCCATGCCATGTCCCTGCTGCCACAGCCTTGTTGGCCCAAGGAGGTCCCCCACACCGGGTGCAGGCTCCAGGAACACCCTATACATTGCCCCAAGGCTTGGAGTTCCTAGAATTGCTTCAGCTTCTCCAGGGAGAAGTTTCTGGCCAGAGCCATGGGGCCTGCCCTTCTCATCCCATGCCCTCCCTCCTTCACCCTCCTGAAGGTTTCCCAACCCCACTGCTGTCCACCATGGTTGTTCACCACATCTGTTGGCTGTTGAAGCTGTCCCTCAACTCAACTATTCCAGGGATTTATTCCCCTCTTTCCCACACGAGAGGGCAGAGGTCCCAGTGCCAATAGGCAGGAACAGGAGGAAGAGAACAGATTTCCTAGCAGTTTAGAAAGGCTTTCAGCATTTGGGAGCTTTGTTTGCAAATACGATCCACCCAGATCAAGGAGTCTGACAAACAGCAGCCCAAGCACCTCTCAGGAGGCTGTGAAGAAGCTGATGTTCACGCCATACCTGCCACCCCACCAATTCAGGCACCCAAATGACCTGTATCTCTGTAGGTCAAAGCTAGAGCCCTACTTGTGCCGGGACAAAAAGGGCAATATGGTCCAGACAAGGTGGGAAATGCAGCAGCAGAGCTCCAAAGGGCAGCCCTCCGTACCTGGACAAGGATGAGCTTACACCGCAGCGGCACCGCATCTGGGAACTCCTCTCCGAAGCACAGCATGACTCTGCTGTCTGGGAAGCGGCCCTGGTTGTAATACTGCTGCAGCTCTGCAAGGAAAGGGGAACCGTTGGAAGATGCCAGCCTTTGCTACGCAGTTCTGGGACCAAGCACCCCGCCATGGAAGAAAGCTGTGGGCTCAAGAGAAGCCAGCTTTGTTGCGCAAAGCCGCCAACTAGGAGGAATTTGCTCAGCGACACGAAACACCAGCTTATTCCTTCCTAGAACTGGTAACATCAGCTACTCGCCTAGAGCACTTGGGTAAGCCATCAGTGGTGGACAGTGATGGCTCCAAAGTGCTCCAAGGCCAAGGGTTCCACCCTTTCAACCCCACCAAGTGGATGAAGAGAAAGAGGGAAATGCTCCTACAAACCTCTGAAGAACAAGTTGGTGTCAAAGATCTTCACCACCTCATCCCGGTCCAGTTTGTTGGGCCTGTCCTTGTAGACCATGGTGTTCCCGCTCCAGAAGACCCTGCCCTGGCACAGCCTCTTGATGAAGATGCCCTGCTTGTTGCTGTGCAGCAGGACACCCTTCTCCAGATGCCCAAAGAGCTTCCTGGTGATCTGCTTCTGGCGGTCGTTCTGGATGGTGTCGGCCGAGGGGAACCGCACGTGCTCCAGGGCATCTGGGGCGTAGAGCTTCTCGCCGTGGCTGGAGGGCTGGCTGAGCGAGATCCGGCAGCCCTCGGTGCACGAGGTGGTGATATGGCCCACCAGCCTCCCGCCGTAGTAGAAGCTGATCACCATCTGGGAGTAAGCTGGGAGGGGATGGGCACATACACCACCCATCAGAAGACAAACCCCACCTGCTCTTCGCTGCAATGCCCAAACCCCCATGAGAGCACCAAAATTCCCCGGGGAGCAAGTTTCACTTGATGGAAGAGACCTCCTGCTTGCCAGAGGCCATCTCCTCCAGCACTCAGCCTGGTAGCAGCACTGATCAGCAAGCAAGAGCTCCCAGTAGCGATCCCCCCTCCTCCCACCTTCGCTCCACACCTCCCTTGCTGCAGGCAGACCTCCCCACACCAAAGGCATGGCGGATCCCAGCATCCCACAGCAGCCCTGCTCGCCAGGGCCGTGGCCACAGGCCACCAGGCAGGATGCTCAGGAGACCACGCCGCCTCCCAAACCCAGAGCAAAGCCTCCCCCCAAAGCAGGGAGGGGACTCAGAGCCACCTTCAGCCACTGCACACCCAAAGCCAAGCCCCAGAGGGGCTTTTGATGGCCACAGTCCGGAGCAGGGGAGCTGCCTTACCCGAATGATGCTGCTCGTAGCCAGAGTATCCGTTCACCAGGGGCATCGCTGCAGGCAGAGAGAAAGCTGAGCTGTGGCTGCTGGCCCGGCTCCCAAACCTTGATTTCCCCACCACCACCCTCCCAGTTTTCTCTCCCAGGCACATCAGGCTTCCCAACTTCCACAGGGGAGATGCCAGCAAATACTCCCAGGTGGATTTAACCCTGTGCAATGCACGCTGTTGGGTGCCTGGTACCAAGCACAGCATTCATCACTAGTATTTTAAACATCCTTAATAAGGAAGATAAAATACAATTGTCATCCACTACTCATTGCTGTACAGTAAGTTTTTTCTGCCCCCCCCTTCCCCCCAAAAAAAGCTCAGTCCCATTAAACACCACACACACAGTCAGCTACTTACCAGGGCTGGGCTGCTGTACCCACCAGTCGGGTATTGGGGGGTTTCTGCAGGTCTCCTGGGGGGGTGAGGGGCTTCTCTTGATGATCCCCAGGTATTCATCTACACAAGGGGGCTGTGTGAGACCAGAGACGAAGATCAGAGGAGGTTTGATGCCTTGGGCAGCCGCTGCCCCACACCGAGACACTCGCAGCGCTCGGAGAGGGGCCAAACAGCCATCC